CTGGACATGGAAGATTATTCACAACGTTTTCAAAGTTCATCTATGTTTAACACGTGTTAGTACCTCATTCTTTTTTATGCTAGAATAATATTCCATTGTGTGGACAGACCACTTTCATTTACCTGTTCATTCTTTGATGGGGACATTTGGTTTGTTCCTGCTTTGGGGCTACTATGAATAATGCTGCTATGAACATTCATGTTCAAGTTTTTGTGTGGATTTTCCTAAGCGTCTTTATCCTCTTATCTCCATTTATCAATTATATAAATAGCCTCATTCCAACTGGAATTGCTAGACTTGCATAGTAGTAACTCTGTGTTTAACCTTTTAAGGAAGTGCCAGATTGTTTTCCAAAGCGGCTACCCCACTTTGTATTTCTACCATCAATGAAGTCAAATGTATCTATTTTTTGTTGTTGCTTGTGCTTTTGGTGTCATATCTAAGAAACCATTGCCTAACTAAAGGTCACAAAGACTCACTCCTATGTTTTCTTCTAAGTATGACATAAGTTTAGCTTTTACATTGGGCTCTATGATCCATTTTGAGTTAATTTTTGTGTATGGCGTGAAGTACTCAATTTTCTTCTTTTGCCTGTGGTTATCCAGTTGTTCCAGCAGCATTTGTTGAAAAGACTATTCTTCCCATTGAGTGGTCTTGCATTCTTGTTGAAAAGCAACTGATCATAAATGTAAGGGATTATTTCTGGACCCTTAATTCTATTACATTGATTTATAAGTTTATCCATATGTCAATACCACCCTATCTTGATTACTATAGCTTTGTAGTATATTTTTAAAATCAGGAAGTATGAGTGCTTTAACTTTGCTCTTCTTTTTCAAGATTGTGTTTATTATTCCCTTGAAATTTCATACAAATTTTGGGATCAGATTGTTAATTTTTGCAAAGAAGACAGCTGAGATTTTGAGAGGGATTATGGTAATCTATAGTTTAATTGGAGAGTATTGCCATCTTAATAAAATTAAGTCTTTCAATCATTAAATATAGGCTATCTTTCTATTTACTTAGTTCTTTCTTAATTTCTTTTTACAATGTTTTTTAATTTTAGAATATAGGTTTTATACTTCTTTTGCTTGATTTATTCATAATTATTTTATTCTTTTTGATGCTATTGTAAATGTAATTGTTTTCTGAATTTCATTTTTGGTTTGTTCATTGCTACTGTCTAGAAATAAAATCAAAAATTTTAAAAGATTTTATTGGAGAATTGGGGAAGGGGAACATTGTGTTTTTCCAGGACCCATCAGCTCCAAGTCAAGTTGTTGTCCTTCAATCTTAGTTGTGGAGGGTGCAAGCTCAGTTCCAAGTCCAGTCGCCGCTTTCAGTCTAGTTGTGGGGGAAGGGGAAGTGCAGTCCACCATCCCATGGAGGAGTTGAACCGGCAACCTTGTTAAGAGTATGCACTCTCACCAGCTGAGCCATCCGGCTGCCCGTTGGCAGCTCAGCTGCAGCTCAGCTTGGGCACAGCTCACTGGCCCATGTGGGACTCAAACCGGCAACCCAGTTGCTCAGAGCTCATGCTCTAACCAACTGAGCCACCCGGCTGGCCCCAAAACAATTGAATTTTGTATATTGATCTTGTATCCTGTAAACTTGCTGAAGTTGATATTAATTCTAATAGTTTTTAGTAGATTTAGGATTTTCTATATACAAGATCATATAATCTGCAAATAGACATAATTTTACTTCTTTCTTTCCAATTCATTCTTGTTTAGTTGCCCTGGCTTGAACCTGCAGCACAACATTGAACAGACCTGGCAAGAGCAGATATTTTTGTCTTGTTCCAGATCTTAAGAGGAAAGCATTCAGTCTCTCACCATTAAGTATGATTTTAGCTGTAGGTTTGCATTATATTCATTTTTTTAATTAAGCATTTTGATAAATTCATCCTGGCCATTCACCAATATTTTACACACAGTTTTGAAATTTAGTAACCTCTCAATCTCCTATTTAGAGTATTTAGAACAAACAGAGAGTTTTATCCTCTGAATGTGATATACAAATACCTGAGCCTAACTATAAGTTTGTTCCTATTTCTGCTGGCAGTAACAAAGCAAATAGACATTTTGACCATAACATTAACCTTCCACAAGGGTATATTAAGCTTAATGCAAATTTGGTGGAGGCAAAGCATAGTTTTTATCATCCTTTTAATGGCTATTTGGATGATTACAATGCCTTGAAAACAGTAGGTTCTCAAAAAACATGTGATGTATTGTTGTGGATTAATTGATAATGGAAGAAGGGATAACACAGAAAAATAAAATCCAAAATTCAAATTTTAGCCAGTAATTTGTATCCCAGCATTCCACCCCTCATTTTTTCCACTAAACTTTTCTATCCTTTTGTCTTCTTTATTAAATAGATAAGCAACTTAAAAGATAGGCATGCTTGTTAAAATATGATTCCAGGGCCCTGTCCCAAAGGCTCAGTAAGTCTGGGACGGTGCCTGGAAATCTGCACCACACGTTGAGTAAAAATGATGTACAACACATACTGAAGAAAACAAGCATTGTAAAGATCTCTTTGTGAAAGTGGTGGTAGAAACCCACATCATTTTAAGTAAGAAATCAAATCACCTTAAGTAAGAAAATGGATTTGTTGGAAGGAAACTAGAGTATGTAGCTCAGAGTGTGAATGGAAAAGCTACCAAAGCAGGTAAAGAGCGGAGGACCTCAGGGACTGAATGTGGGGACTCAATCATCATTGGAACTTTGTCTCCCTTTTTTCACTTTTCTCTGCTTGGCATTATTTTCCTCTCCTATGAATAAATTTTCTTTGTATACTAAAAAAAAAAAATATATATATATATATATATATATAGGCATGCTGAGAGGGGAGGAAAAAGGTATAAAAAATCCACAAACAGTCTAATTTGAATTTGAATTATGAAAAGGAGTTGGTATACAATAATGTGATCTTATAACAAATCCTTACCATTAGGATAATTAATTTCCTTTTGGGACTGGAAGTATTTTTTACTACAAACGTTTTCCCACTTAAAAAGTATTGTAATATTGTAGAGTTAACATACCTGGCTAGCAGAAGAATGGTTTGATTTTCTTAGGCCACAGTTTCTTTACTTCTTTTTAAAGGGTGGGGATGGAGTGAGGAAGAGGACTAGATTATCTCTAAGGATTCTTCAAGCTTCTTCTAAGACCCTGTGTTTATGATTCTGGTGTTTGTTTTTTTTTCCCTAGGAAGATTCTGTTTATGTGGTCTATTAAATGTAACCAAAAAACACAAGGTAGATAAAAACACTTTTCATTCTTCTTTGGGTATAGAGGGAGGGGGTGGTGGTGCTAAGGGATCTGCCTAACATTGACAAGGATCAGGGAATGAAAGAATCTTAGAATTGACCTTGGTGGTCATTCAGACCAAGCTACTATCCAATGTGAAAATTCCCCTCCGTAGAACTGACTGAAGATCAGTCACCCACCTTGTGCTTGAACATTTCCTATGACAAGGAGCTCACTGGCTCACAAGGACAGTTGATTCCAATGTAGGGCAGCTTGAGTCATTAGCAAATTCTTGCTGACATTAAGAAGAAATCATCTCCTAGTAACTTCTACCTTTCTACCCTTTGGAGCCACACAGAATAAATCGAATCCATTGTACACCTACAAGTCCTTTGGATATTTGAAAATGTTATGTACCCAAGCATAAATCCATGCTATGTTTCCCAGGTTTTCACATGGCATGATTTGCAAACCTTTTGCCATCCTGGGCTCTATTAACTGGCACTTGTTTTTTGTTTTTGTTTTTAAAGATTTTTATTGGGGAATTGGGGGGATGGGAACAGTGCGGAATTGGGGGAAGGGGAACAGACAAGTTGCTGTTGTTTTGTTCTTCAGTCTAGTTGTGAAGGACGTTGCTTCACTGGCCCAAGTTGGCACCATCATTGCACTCTTCCCGGGAGAGGCAGATCAGTCGCTAGCTTCTGGATGGCCGCTTACTGCAGCTGTTGGCCGCTCACGCTGGCTGCTGGCTACACATGGTAGCCCATGGCAACCCACTGCCACAGGGGCTGTAGCCTCCGCCTTGCCGGGGACTCACAGCAGCCCAGCTCCAGGTTGAGCTGTTGTTCAGCATCTTAGCTGTAGAGGGCAGTGTCACTGGCCCTCATATGTGGGATCCGAACTGGGGCCCTCTGGCGTCCCAAGCCAGTTCTTAACCATTGCGCCACTCGGCCGGCCCTGGCACTTGTTTTTATCAATTTCTTCTTTAAAAATAGTGCTCAGAACTGAACACCATAGGATAGATTAGTGGTTTGGAAGCTGTTTTTCTTTGACAGGGAAGGAGTCAAAGATACCTTCGAGAATCCGGGTGAAAATTATGCACCTTCTCTTCTAAAATAAAGTAGACGCAAAATTCTTTGTTTTCATAGGCCATTCAGGGAGTTTGAGAATTGTCTAAAACCTATCCATAGACCCCAGTTATTAAATGGTATTTATGTAGTATAATAGGTCTAGCGCCTTCCTTAACTGAATATTTGATAAAGTCTAAGAATTTTTTTATATATAAGGTTTGCTCATTTCAGTATTTAGCTTGATAATTTTGGCAAATAGTAGCCTTTCTCCTTCCTTGCTTCCTCCTTCCCTCCCTTCCTTTCTCTTTCCCTTCCTTCCTTCCTTCTTTCCTTCCTCCCTCCCTTCCTTCCTTCTTTCCTTTTCTTCCTTCCTTTCTTGTTGTTAAATATCTCCAAAGCTTACTTGTGCAGATGATTATGTAAACATAAGTTTAGAACTTTTATATTTATCTCTGTAAAATTTTAATTTGATCATTTTGGCTCATTATCTAAGCCTGTTAATATCTTTTAAAACCTTGGTTTGAGTGCTCGCTTCGGCAGCACATATACTAAAATTGGAACGATACAGAGAAGATTAGCATGGCCTTTGTGCACGGATGACACGCAAATTCGTGAAGCGTTCCATATATTTTACTTCGCTATTATGTTCAGTGGTGCTTGGGGGGAAGCAACCATGAATACTATAGAGATGCAGATGTCTGATGAGAACATTGATCGTGACGCATTTCATGAGGTTTTAGGCTCCCTGTACCAAGACTCCGTGTTCATCCCACCCAGCCGAGTCCTCTCCATCCTGGCCACCGCCAGCATGCTGCAGCTGGACAAACTAATTCAGCAGTGTGGGGAAGTCATGAAGGAGAATGTTAGTGCCCAGACCGTGTGCAGCTACTACTACTCTGCTGAGAAATACGGCCTCCCAAACATCAGCACTATGTGCTTCCAGTGGCTGCTGGACAACCTGATGACCCAGCCTAATGAGCAGCTATTGCGAGAAGTGAGCCTGGATCCCATGAAGGAGCTCATCGCATCTTCAGAGCTCCTCGTGATGGAGGTGGAGATGGACGTGTACACCAAGCTGAAAAAGTGGATGTTTCTGCAACTGCAGCCCACATGGAGGGGGTTCCTGCAGAGCCTTATTGCCAGACACCAACTCATGGTTTGACAGGTCCAAGAGGGAGTTGGAGGGCACCGCTTTCCTGGAGACCCAGCAGGGCAGAACCTTCGTGCCAGTGTTCCAGCAGCTGTGTCTGGCCTACATAATCTGCGACCTGTCATCAGCACACACCATCGACCACGATGCAGTGATCCCTGCCACTTGGCTAAACCCAGTGTACAAAGATCAGTGGCTTGCCCTCCTCCAGGCTGCGCAAACCAGGTATCTCCGGATCTTTCACATCAATGTGTCTGGCCTCCATCGGAACAGCATGCTCTTCGGGGCCAAGATCCGCAGGGATGAGATGTGCAGCTGGCGTTGGACCGGCTTCAACTTTGGCTGGGACCTGGTGGTGTCCTACACCAACCGGCGCCTCATTTTCCGGCGCAGCGTGGTGAACAAATGCGGCGGTCCCAGGGTCAGCCTACTCTGGCAGAGAAAGATTGCATTCTGCCTGCGCTTGGCTTCCTTGGACAGGACTGGAAGTGCCGTTTTCAGGAAGGACACAAAATACAAGATCCTTTCCCTGTAAAAGAACTAAGAGCTAGTGGTAGTGGACCTGGAGAACCAAGATGTGGTCTTTCCCATGTATGTGGCCTGTAACTTCCTGTGCCTCGGCAGAAAGGGCACGGCCCACGCTGAGGACTAGTGCAAAAGCTCGAAGAACTGTGCAGCTCTTCCCGGGGCACAGGGGTGGCCAGCTTTCTCCAGATGCCAGCTCCCTCTATGGGATCAAGTGGCCTTGCCCATCTCCGATGACCAACTGTCAGAGGCTTTGTTGAACTGTAGTTCCTAAAACCTGAGACTGTTTACTGGCACTTATGAAGAGGACACATTTTAAAGCCCCCAAACATCTCCAGAACTCATCCGTGCTGTTAATGTGGCAACCTGTCCTCCTGGTTTAACATACATCAACCCCCACATTATTTCTGTGATGACAAAGACCAATTGACTTTAGAGAGAAAACATGAGCCTACCTACTCTACCACTCCTAGTGAAATTCTTTTCTTTTAGTTTTATTAAGTGAATGTTAAAATGAATACTTTGACTTCTCTTTTACTTGGTGGGTTTAGAGCAGCCCTGCCTCACTCATCACTCCCACCACAACTGGTTCTATTCTGATTTCTCCCCTTTCCCCATTTCCTGCCACTGACTATAGTACTTGGTTTTCATGGTCTCTCACTATGTGATCACAGCCAGAGTACACTGATGATTTTGTTGTTGGTTGTTCTTTAACCTAATAGTACCTTGATGTTGGTGAAACTTTTCTATTATTTCCCTAGCATTTTCACCCCAAAAGACATTTCCAACTGCCACCATCTCATTCCCTCCCAAATACCCTACTTGTTTGCATTTCATTGAGTGGTTGTTGTGCTTAAAGAAGGTCAATGCCTTGAAAACTCTGTTTAAGATTCCATACAAATAATAAATATATGCTTTGAAAGAGTGTAAAAAAATAATAGAAGGTTAACAAATGAATTTTAAAAGTTAAAACGATTTAATGCTTTACTTAGTTGAAACCAGAAATTTTCTTACTGATTTATGTTTCTCTCCCAATTAAATTTTATTCTTTGCCATTTGGTGAACAAATTAATTTTGACTACGTATTTATTTAGTCTTTGAGGAGGTGTGAAAGGCTTCAATATTCCTAGCCCACATCTACTGTTAGTAATAATTACATAACAGATACATGAAATGACTAAAGCAGAAGCTGCTGTTGCACCCTTAATGTTTGCTTTTAATTTTGCATTTTTTCTCCTCTGAGTTCCCTTATACTATGTTTACTTAACTAACTACAAACAACAGGCCTCCTGTCTTTCTGTCTTTTTTTTTTTTAAGTAACTAAAGTTGGGGAAGGAGTAATAATTACTAAGTAGAAGGGTAAAAATTATTTTTTTTCTGTAACAGTGTCTCTTTATATGATCTTTCTAAGCAATTTCTGTTTTAAAATTTTTTAAATAAAATTTATTTGGGTGACACTGGCCAAAAAAACCCCACCTTGGTTTGATACTCATGATATTAATCAGCAATCCTTCTAAGCCTCATGTCATCTGAGAATTTAATTGTTGTTTCTTTTAATGTTTGTTGAAGACATTGATTCAATTGCTGACTACTGCAGGTAAAGGACAGAGTTTTGTGGCACGTGCCTGACAACCTCCCTCCAATGTAACAGCTATGTTCTTTTCATGTCCTTCAGCTCACATTTCTCCATCTTGTTCGTAAAACTAACTTAAGGGACTTGGTAATAAGCCTTGATAAAAATAAAAAGACACTATATCTTATGGCATTTCCTTTATTTCTCAGGTTAGTACTCTTATCAGAAAAGGAAATGAGGATTATTATGAGGAGTTAGTTTTAGGGTTTTATGCAACAGTTGCATTCCTAAGATTTGTGCAAATAATATCATATTAACAATGAGTACTTATATAAATAGAGCTTACAAACAGTCAAGGACTGTTCTAAATTTTTTGTGTCTACGTATTTATTTAACCTGACAACCCTATGAGGTAGGAAAAAGGCCGAGGAAGGTTAAGGTACTTTCAGGAGTTAAGAGGCTAAGTGACAGTGTCAGGGTTTAAACCCAGATAGTTTGTCTGGAGAATTCAAATGCTATACAGTCTTGTATTTTAAAAATCCCAGATTCAGTAAGGAAAACTCGTGGATAATAATCTGCAAGTTTAGTTTCCTCTCTCAGGATTTCTATCCTGGTTCCACATAACATGTAAGTCAAAGAGAATTTGCTATTTGCCGGAAAAGTATGTCTTAAGATAGGCAAGTTTCTTTCTGACTAGTAGATATGAGGGTGGGGGGAATCCTGAGATTCACTAAGACCCAATGTCTTGGTCTAGATGGAGGTTATAACTTGAACATTAGAGAACCTAGTTATGTTTAGTCACTGGCTGTGTAACTAGGACCAAACTCCTCCCCTTTCTGTGTCACAGTTTCCCCATCTGTTTTATCCCACTCTCCTCCCTTCCTCAGAGGGATTGTGGGGAAAATGAAAATAAGAGTACAACTATGTGAAGAGCTTCAAGTTTGAAAGATACTAGGAAAATATAAGATGCTATTAGAATTGGTCTGTCCTGAGCAATAGCCCACTAAAGATGAACTAACACACTTTAAGAATTAAAGCTACAGTAAAATAACCAATTTGAGTATGCCATTGCATCATCTTTTAAAAACACAAGCATGCAAACCCAGCTAGAAAACTATTTAACCCTAAATTAAATGTGAGGATTAGGACTGCTGGCTTGATTTAAATTAAAAGTCACATAAATTGCCAGCTGCAAGTTTGGTGACTATTATTGATGAGGGATTTTAACTGTGGGGTGAACTCTTGTCAAGATTAGGCAGGTAAGACTTTGACAACATTGACTGTCCCTGGTACCTTTAATTTTACTCACACACATACATGCGCTCTGACTGGGAAGACCTTAAAAAAACCTCAGTTAATATTAAATACTAAAAGCTCATAGTGTGTTAGAAGCTGACAAGCTATCGTAATATCTAAATGGATTTGTTGACCTTTAAATGGAGCTTGGCTCTCATGTCTATTTGTCACAATTTCCTACTTATTTCCTTCCCCACCTTTTCCCCATTGTCAACTCTTGTTATTCTCAGTGGCCATGGGAAAAAAAATATATTAGTTTGAGGGCTTTAATGTGACCAAAACAACACAGCCTGGCAGGTCACCTCTCTTCCTCACTGAACTATTTCTTTCCTTTCTTTCTTTTTTAATTGAGTTATAATTGACATACAGCATTATATTAGTTTCAGGTGTACAGCATAAGGACTCAATGATTGTATATATTTTGAAATGACCACCACAGTAAGCCTAGTTAATACCTGTTTACTGAACTATTTCTAATTGGGCTCATTACAAAGCCTCTAACAGTAAGAATAAAAGCCTTTTAAACACAAAGCTTATGCCAACAAACAGAATCTCATTAAGAAGTTCATTTTGTTCTTACCCCCAACTCCTCATGAGAATGTTCTAGTGGTAATATCCAGTCCAATTATAAATTTTCTACATTAAAATTAAAATGTAACAGGATTATCAGATTGCGATATACTTTGAAGTGCTCCTTTTATGAAGTAAATTGTCATTAGTAATGTGAAGAGAGAAACCAATTTTCTATTTTTTTTTTTTTTTTTAAGCTGAGCTATCCTGCCAACAGCGGCAGCTCAGCTCGGGCCGGAAATCGAACCGGCGACCCTATTGCTCAGAGCTCGCATTTTTGAGTGAGCTCTTAACCAACTGAGCCACTCGGCGATCCTGAGAAACCAATTTTAAAGATGAGTTAGGGCAAATTGAATGACTAAATACTTATATAATATCTTGTATTTAGTATTTAAATAATAATAATTTTAAAAATCTTTCTTAAAGCAGGTTTGTGAATGTGCCAGGCCTGGCAGAGAGGTCTCTGTGACAGTGGAGTCAGTTCCCATTTCTATCTCCATTCCTCATTGCACATAACTTCCACTTATAGACCTGGGAATAGAGACAGATCTCCCAAAAGCATCTTATTTATAACAGTGAAATATTAGTAACAACTTAGAAGTCCAAAATTGAGGTAGTTTTTAAATAAGTTGTGGTTCAACCATGTGATGAAAGTCTATGCTGTCATTTAAAATGATATTGTCAATTAAAAAAATTAGTAATAACTTTATGTAAATATGATTATATTGTTAGAAAAAAAAATAAAACAACATGAACTATAAAAAAAAGAAGAAACATACACCCAACACATAAAAGCATAGAAAAAATATTGGAAGAAAATATATCAAAATGTTAATGTGGTTATCTCTGTGGTAGACTTATGAGTGGTTTTTACTTTTCTTGCTTATCTTTAGTTTCTAAATTTTCTAAAAAGAACATTTATACTGCTGGAATGAGAAAACAGTAGAAGTTAGTTGTTTCCTGGGGCGGCTGGGTGGCTAAATTGGTTAGATTGCGTGCTCTTAACAACAAGGTTGCCGGGGGTTAGATTCTCGCATGGGATGGTGGACTACACCCCCTGCAACTAGATTGAAAACGGGCGACTGGACTTGAAACTGAGCTGCGCCCTCCACAACTAGATTGAAAGACAGTGACTTGATTTGGAGCTGATGGGTCCTGGAAAAACCACTGTTATCAAATAAAAAAAATTTTTTTAACAATGTTTTCTGGCCTTTAGTGTGAAAAATAATGTAATTTTTAAAGTGCGTCTTTCACTGTTATGATGAACAGAATTTATTAAAAACCTAGTTTGTTGTGTGTGTGAATATATATGTGTGGGGTGGTCTTGGGTACACAAGATTAAATTCAGAGTTTTAAATGAATCTCATAGTTAACATCTGCTCTGACCTGGGCCCCCTCATAGAGGACAGTTCATTCTGAGGCACAGTACTTGTTCCTAGCGGGCTTACATCTGATTGTGGAAATAAGGGTTAAACATGTGGAAATGCCAATGATAATCCCCATGGCTAGCTGGTGTGTTTTTCCACCAGTCATTACGTGATGTTTCAATCATGTAACTTGACCAGAAGATG